TCAAGATGATCACCGCCGCGCCAGAACGTGGGCGGATGACACAAATCATTCCTGAGCTGCGGGAACGAGGCATCATCTACTCCATCGGCCACTCGGAAGCGACGTACGAAGAAGCTTCGGCCGCGGTGGCAGCCGGAGCCACGATGATTACTCATCTCTTCAACGCCATGCGACCTCTTCACCACCGCAACCCCGGAGTCTTCGGTGTGCTGGGTATTGCAGAGAGTCTGGCGAGGCCATACTTTGGCATCATCTCTGATGGTATTCATCTGCACCCAACCACCATTAAGATTGCGTTCAACGCTCATCCGGATGGCTTCATCCTGGTTACTGACGCCATGCATATGATGGGTCTGGCCGACGGCTCGTATAAGTGGACGAATGGACAAGACGTCAACAACATTGTCAAAGTCGGATCCACGCTGTTGTTAGAGGGCACTGACAAAATTGCTGGAAGGTGAGCAGTCCGCATCATATTACGAAATTGTGCACTACTAACAACTGTCAGTGCCGTCACTCTGATGGAGTGTGTCAACAACTTCCTGCGCTGGTCCGGCACCGGCATCCCGAAGGCTCTGAAGGCTGTGACCGCGACTCCCGCAGAGATGCTCGGCCTCAAAGGCATCAAGGGCTCTTTGGAAGATGGAGCTGATGCGGATCTGGTCATTTTTTCTGAAGAAGTTAGAGACGGCGCCACCCAGCTCGTGGTAGACGAGGTTTGGAAGGCGGGAACGATGGTTTCGAGCCGGGAGGAAACCCAATCGCCCATCGCATAGAGTGTCCGAGTCAAGAAGGGGGAGGTTCATAAGACAAGACTGAAAAACAGGGTCGAGCCCTACAATAGACTGTAAATTCATAGAGCTGCTGTCCAAATATGTAGGTGGGCAAGCGGGCGGCATTAGGTATTTGATGTAAACGAGATTCAAAGATGATGGCCATGATGTAAGTGTCCTTGCAAACTGCCGACTTTGGCATCATCAGACCATTGCGTCCTTGCTTTGATCACATAAGTCCCGGATGACTTTACGAATTGACTGTTGCGGAACAGTACCTAGGTATCTCTCATTCGTATCGTAGAGTAAGGACTGGCTTATGTGAGATGGAGACTGTTATTCCACTCGCTGCACTGCGTACATGGTGACTGCTACGTGTTCATGACCAAAGTCCTTCCTTTTGGCCGGCACCTTGGGTATATAAAGAACATTGCGCATTTAATCCACTCAATAGCAAAAGCTACTTTTCAAAGTTCTTGCAGACCGTGTTAGTTGTGGAAACCAGTCTCTGTCCGCCATGGCTACCTCCGACGCTCCCCTTACTGCCCTCTACGAGGCCATCGAAAAGACTTTACGCGAGTTTCTCAACGGTTACGAGGACGCCTCGAAGGAAAACGACGCGTCACGCATCAATGCACCCTTGACACCGGATTGCAAACGCCACTTCATGCCCCCCTCATTCCTCCAGGCCATGGGCGTCCCGACTGATCTTGCCATTGGGAATGAGATGTACGAGGCCAGGTTGGCCACCACCCTCCCGGTTTACAGCACGAAGAGGACGGCGATCGACAATGTTGTCATCGACGTGCGGAAGAGGACAGCTGCCGCTACAACGATCCTCGACAGCGAATTCATCGACGGGGAGTCCACGAAGCTATATTTTGCATGGTTTATGCAGTTCACCGAGGACGGGTCACAAATAAAGGATGTTTGGGAGTACGCCGACAGCGTGGTACAACCCAGCATCTCAGCCAAGTGTCAGAAGCTCTTTGAAGAGCAAAAGGCCAAGGATTGAGCGGACTGCGGCATTACCAGATATGAGTTGATATCGTTATTGCAAGCCATCGTTTTCTACATTCGGTTCCAGTGAGGACATGTAGCACCTCTGGTGAGCTCATGTTGTAAGCCCCGATGCGTGGGAAGGCATATCGATGCGTGAGGTGATGTTTGCTCCAACCTGGAAGCCGACAATTACAGGGAGCTTTATCGTACTCGGTGGAGCTCATCTCCCCCGCCTAGGTGCCTGCCCGGTGTATTGGATCCCACATCTTTCGCTGGGGATGCTCCCAGTCGCGGTTGAATGGACCCCCCAGAGCAAACCCCATTAAGCGCCCCTCACTTGCCTCCACAGTGCGATAACGCCTGCAGCCGTTGACTTGCAGGCCAGCCAATGGCGGCAGACCAGCGGCCTGATAGGGGTTGGTGCGGCGTCTCTCCAGTCCAGGTCACCCACCACCTAACCTCCACGTCCACTCGGCTGCCCGTGGGTTGGCTCCAGACAGAAGAGATCCCTCCGCTTCTGCATTTCCATCCAGAGTCGCTCGGACAAGACATTCGCTACATACCTCGACGCCCACTCGCCAGCTTGCTTGCTTTTTGCAACAGGGTCTTTTTATTTTCCGTTTGTGTCTGTCCTTTATTTTTTCGACAACTCGCTGCCGGGCCTCGTCGTTTACTCGCCCTCCGGGCCGCCCAGCCACCTCTGATCGTCCATCGTGACGACGAGCGCAATTCGTCTGCCGGCGGCTGGCGCAGTCCTACCATGCAATGGCCGCGTTCCACTCATTGTCGTCCGGCGCGACGCCCGGCGATGGCATGAGCCTCAACAGCGCTGTCGTGGATGGCCTGGATTCCTCCATGTTTGACGATTCTCTGCTGTAAGCTTTCCGGGGCGGGAAACTTTCTGGAAGCGCCTGTCGCAGTTGGGATGGGAAGAAGTCAGACGACTAACAGTTTGCTGTCGCAGGGATACGGTCAACGGCGCCTTTCCCCCCATACCCTTCACTCCCACCTACGGATTCGAAGACTTCTCCGCCACGGGATTCGAAGACCCCTTCGCATATTCGAATCGAACCTTCGAGGCGCAGCCTGCCCCCGAGTTCAACCAGGACTCCCCCACCCAGGAGCTCGACAACAAGCTGCTCGGCTTCTCGGCGCCCACGCTCAAGGCGACGGTCGTTGACGGGAATGGACAACACATGGAACCTGGAATGACGGCCGAGCTGTACGGCATGTTCTTCGTCGCGGAGGACGTCTTTGGCGCCGACAACAACGGCCGTCCGCTTGAGCTTACCTGCTACCGTCGCAACCTGTGGCAGTGCTCTGGACAAGTCACGCTTCCGCGTCACATTACGCATGCCGTAGACGAGCAGGGCCGGCAGATACCCATTTTTGAGCTTGTCGCCTCCATCACTGCGATCGAGTCCATAGAGGGGAAAATAACGGAAATCATATCGATACCCTGGAAGAGCGCGCATCCCATCGGCGCCGAGGAGCCAAAGTCGTCTGGTGGCCCGCCCAACATTGTTCTGGATCTAGCCAACGGCCAGGAAGTCGATGCGAACAGAGTGTCGTTGCCGCTGTCATGGAAGAGGCTGCAGTTCAAGCATGCGACGGCAAACAACGGCAGGAGGAAAGGTCTGCAGCAGCATTACCTGGTGCAGATCAGCCTCTTAGGAAAGCAGCAGTCGGGGGAGTACATCAAGATTGCTGAAATCAGCTCTGGCCCGGTGATTGTGCGAGGTCGTAGCCCGAGGAACTTTGACAGTCGCAAAGACATCCCTCTGACGGGCGACAAGAAGCTTGAAAGGAGGAGCAACAGCGATGCGTCTGCCTCTGCTCCGCCTCATAAGGACAATGGCATGGCAACTCCGGTCCCGAAATACCAACCGTCCTACAACCTTCAGGTACACAACGCTGCTTCGACTTACGGATTCAATATGCTAATGGCTCATAGCAACCTCCAGAATGGAGCACGTCTCAACTGTACAGAGAGACGAGCAACAGTCAGCCTCCTGCAAAGAAGCTGGCGCTGTCTCCGGGGATGTCTCGGCCACCGATCCCAGCGTGGTCTTCAGAGCCCGCACGACAGGCGGCAAGGCCTTCAATGTCAAGCTCACGGCCCGGCATCTCAGGCCCCATTAACCTGTCATTGTCGGAAGACGAGAGAAGCCCAAACAGGTCCAACTCGGATATTTCGAGCCCGCAGTTTACAAAATCCATTGCGGCCGCCGTGCACAACACAAGTCAGAGTCCCAAAGAAGAGGATGATCTGCTGTACGAATACTTTCCACTCAGCGTGGACGACTGGTGAGTCTCTCGTGAATCCGCCGACTGTGCGATAACTTAGAAACAATAGGATGCCGCCAGTGGAAGCCATCTACCGACCTCATGTCGTTCACCACACAATTGTGCCGCCCGAGATCAAGGCACAGCAATTACGCAGCAAGAGCAAACGCATGTTCACAGCCGAATCGTAATGATGATTTTGGACTGGATGTATCATCTTGGTATTCATACCCCTCGGCATGTATTTGCCTGATAGGGATCTATTTGAAATGATTTAACGAAGCCGCCTCATGGGTTTGAATGTATTATAAGCTAATGGGGTCACCTGCTCGGCCATCGGGAGGCCGAGTCGCACAGCAAGTGCAGGACATGCGGACAGCACGGAAAATAGGAAGGCGAGTCAGCGGCGGGACACGTGGTTATACCCGGATCTAGTGACATTGAATGATTCAGAAAGAATATACTCATCCACAGCCTGCGATGGGCTGGGTGATTCAACTGCCCGCTGCTATTGTGTGATGGTCTATGTTCTGGCCAATCACATGACACGATGTTGGAGAACCAAATGTACCTCGTCCTGGCGAGCAGCACAAACTCCAACTCAACCCCACAATCTATTCTCATTCATCTCATCTTTTTAAGGTAACGTACACGGCGAGCCCTGCTCTTCTCTCTTTTAACAATGTCTATGCACCCTCTCCGAGTTTTATCCGTTCTTGCGATCCATGTCTCATGATTCCCTTTAATTTGGGCCCTTTCTACTATGCTACATTCTGTTTGGCCCATCAAACAATCACACGAGCAGCCAATGCTCTTTGCGTCTAGCGAGTGACTGGGCAGCAGCGAGTTACGGCTCGGCTTACAATCAATGAAGCGCTCACTGCCATGCAACCGGGCATGCGTTCTTCCTTTCTCTCTCAACCGCCGTCTCATCGGCGTCTAGGCGCCAACGGCGTTCACCCGCAGCTGCTGCTCCGGGTTAGGAGTCAACCGCCGCGCAAGCGCCGGCTCGGGGATGCGGGAAGCCATGCGATCGGGTACCAGATCGGGGGTGTTTGATCTTGAAATGGACGACTGCTGCTGCTCGGGGTTCGGCGTCAACCGTCTTGCCAGGGCCGGCTCGGGGATGCGGTTGGCCATCCTGTCGGTGACGAGGTCGGGCGTCACGGCCCGGAGCTGTTGCTCTGATGGGGTCTTTGTGCGGGACTCCATGCTCTCGAAGACGAGCTCAATATCCGGGGACACCGAGCGGACGGGGTACTCCGTGGCGGGAGACGCTCTGAGGAGACGGGAGGTGGTGGGCTGAGGGTGGTGGATTGTCGGGGTCGAAACCTCGTCGACGACCGTCACGGGGATGGGGCCCGGACCGGTGCGGATCTTGGACGGGAGGATCTGCTCGAAGCCCTCGGCCTTTGCGACCTTTTCGATGCTCTTGAAGTACTGAGGTGTTGTGTCAGCGGACAGTTTCCGAGACGCGTGCGGGGTCTCTCTTACCTTGACAGTCTTGACCTGCAACTCCAGCGTCGCGTCCTCGTCGACGATGAGCATCGGGTGGGGGTGCAGCTGCAGGCTGGAGAGGGTCCACATGTGGTTGACGCCCTGCTCGATGCACTTCTGGAGGGCGAGCGCCTTGCGCGCGCCGATGATGATGGCGACGACCTCGCGGGCCTCGAGGACGGTCTGGACGCCGACGGTCAGGGCGAGGCGAGGCACCTTGCTGACGTCGTTGTCGAAGAAGCGGGAGTTGGCGAGGATGGTGTCGTAGGCGAGCGTCTTGACCCTGGTGCGGGACGCGAGGCTGGAGCCGGGCTCGTTGAAGGCGATGTGGCCGTCCTCGCCGATGCCGGCGAGGAAGAGGTCGATGCCGCCAGCGGCCTTGATCTTGGCCTCGTAGGCGACGCACTCGGCCTCCAGGTTGGGCGCGTTGCCGTTGAGGATGTTGACGTTGTTGGGGTGGATGTTTACGTGGGAGAAGAGGTGCTTCCACATGAAGGAGTGGTAGCTCTCGGGGTGGTCCCTCGGGATCCCGACGTACTCGTCCTGGCATGATGTCAGGTTGCTGAAGGCGAGGGCATCGGAGACGTCACGGGAAGACATACCATGTTAAAGGTGATGACATTTTCAAACGAGATCTATCAACAACACCGTCAGCCTCCTTAGCTGCCCGCGAAGAGCACGAGCAAGACTTGATTCATACCTCTCCGGCCTTGTACCTCTGAACAAGAATCTTATATACGCCCAAGGGACTGCTTCCCGTAGGCAGGCCAAGCACGAATGGGTGTGCGGGGGTGGGACTGAAGTGCTTGATCCTGTCGACGATGTAGTTGGCCACATAGGCGCTGGCAGCGTCGGCGTCGTCGCGGATAATCAGCCTCATCTTGAACGGGGGATCTACAGAAGGAGGATAGCGTTGGATTGCAACGATACGAGGATGGGTGTGGAAATAAGCGCAGGGAATGATAGAAAAGGGTAGGTTCTAGGCGAGTTGGGTGTCTATTCTCGAGAAAGAGGACGGGAAACAGAGCCATACGAGGGAGACAAAGCTGAAGAGACCCTCCTTATGAGGGACTAAACTCAGCTTCGACGGTGGCCCAAGGTTCGGGCGGTTTCCCCCATACCCATTCCCTCAAACCGTCCTCCCCCTTGAGGGGTTCCCCGTCGCAGCACAGCTGACATCACAGACTTTTTGCGGTAACGGCAATCTGCCCCCAGAAAGTCTGCTGAAGATTTGCGCCGTGGTGGAGGGATGGAACGTCACTGCAACTTGCTATCGGTGGTGTTTGAAAGTCCCACCACCCGGGCGTCCGTCCCACTGTGACCGGCTCGCGGGGAGGGGCCATCATCAACGTTGCCAGTCGCAGGTATCGGCCGAGTCACCTGGTTTCAGTGGTTGGATGTCGAGGCTCTGGAGCGGGAACCGCGGAGGGTTGAGGGTGGCCAGCCATCAACTTGATAACTGGAGCTCTTGATTCTGGCAGGCAGTGAGCAGCACACTTGTAGCACTCCCCCATTCTAAAGTCGGCCATCATCGTCATCCATCAGTTTAGACTCGCCATGGCCCGACGGCCGCGGGCAGGGGTCGGCATGTCAGTGTGGCGGTGGTGGGTGTTGGACGAGCCAGGTGGTCGGGTCGATATCCCAGACGTGTGTGGAGGCTGTTCGATGCCAGGAAAGTTCGCGACGCTACCTACTGCATAGTAAGGTACGCACGGGTGGCGAGGCCGTCGTCGGCGCGCGCGGGGGCCAGCTCGTCCACGTCCGTGAGGCCAGGTCCCTGGTTTTACAACGATGGCAATGTATGTACGATCTGGCGGCGGCTGACCATTTTGTGCTTTGCATGCAACTGATACGTTAGACGTGGGGGACTAGCAGCCGAGGCTACTGATAACGATCCAACGTGACGGGCATAAGAACCGTTTGCCGTTTGCCGCCCGCCGCGTGGGACTTGGGCCTGGCTCGGAGAAATACAAAAGGTGTCATGGTGGACGGCTCGTGTTAGTGGTTGTGTGCCGCTCTCTCTCGACGATTTCTAGCTCAACACGTTCAACGCAAGTGAGGTGTAGTTCGAAGGCCGCCAAGAAACGTGTTGATGGATGATTCGGCATTGACAGTGTTGTGAGACAAGAAGCAGATTGATGAAGTTCCCCCTCATGTTGGACTGGGGACATGGCAATCCTGCATCGCCGCTGATCGCATCGACAGCTTTGTTGAAGATGCAGAGTCTCCGTCATCTGTCACAGCAGGACCCCTGTTCAATGTTTCTTCCTGGTGGTGTTGGTTGTTGCATGTTCCTCTGGCGGCGGGTCTTAACAATTTCCACCGAGGGGCCTCGTCCGCACGCGCTAAGCAGCAGGTCTTACACCTGAGTGGTCGCTGGAGAAAGCCCCTCCATGAATCCGCTTTCGTCTGATTCGGTCAGCCACCACCTGACGGATACAGTGCCCCTCCAATGGAATTCGCTATCAGAGGCAACGTTACAGCTGGAGGGGCGACGCATCCTTTCCGCATTGCACCTCTCAACCACGCGCGGCGACAGCGACATCCTGCCAACCCAGCGGACGGGTTCAGCTGGTCTGGTCTGGCCTGAGCTGAGATGCCAATGGCTCGTCGTACTTTACCTGGGTCTCCATAGCTCACTTACGGCAGTAACAATCAGTGGCTCCCTCAGTCGAACCAGCGCACCGCGTTTCAGCACAGCGTCTTCTTCTCTCATTGTTGCTGTTCCATCCCTCCTCCGTCTTGCTCCAAACGTCTTGCGGTGCAGAGGAGCCTCTGGTTCTTTTCACTGCCGGCTCGTAGCAGTTGATTGTTGCACCGAAATCTACTGTGCTTCTCCCGACGACCCAGTCTTCCATGCGTCCCCCCTAAACACCATCCCATACCACGCTCTCGCATCCACCTTCCTCCGCCGCATCCAACCCCGTCGACGAACGGCATACGGCCCCCAAGGCAGGTGGACTGGATTATCGCGTCTGGGCCGAACTAGGCCATACGAACATGCCCTAGGACTGCCGTCAGTCGCCCCATTGCCTGTGCGACGTTGGAGAGGAAACGCGAGAGGCCCTCCTTGGCTGGTGGTTCCCGCTCGAGTCTCACTCTCACCGTGGACCTCCGCATGGTCTGGTGCCCCCAAGGCCTTCTCTCCGTACCCTAGCGGCCATCTCTCACCTCCTGTAACCACATTGGCCGTTGGTCGCTTTCGCCATCGCCGCTCTCTTGTGCTTGTTCAGTCCACCGCCAACGCGCTCCAATACGACATCCAACCGGCCAGCTCGACGGACCAAGGCCAGCTCCCGGCAGGTTCCATCCTGCTCGGTGCGAGCTCCAGTCACCCTTGTTCCCCGGCCTGTTCCTGTCGATCCGCTCTCGACACCGTCTGGTGGCCGCCGTGGAGTGCTGTTTAAACCTCGTTTGCGACATCTCTGCGACCCTCCCTCTTCCTCCATTCCTCCGTCTCACTCATCTTGCTCCCGTCACCTCTCCGGGGACATGGCTCGTGCCTTGCTCCGTTTATTTACCCGCCATTTTCTCGTCAGCTAAATGATACGGCACCGTCCGACACCAAATCTCCTTCGTTCGAATCTTGGGTCCTTGTCATGCACCGAATTACTCCTGCCATGACGTTCCCGAAATCACTTCTGGCCGCCGTCGTCAAGCAGCTGCTGCGGGGCAAGTCCCTGATACAAGCCATCCTCGCATTCTGGATCACCCCCCAGACCGTTTCCGGGAAGCAGTCCAGGACGTCGTCAACAGTCGAGTGTTCCAAGTCCGCGGCGTCTCTCTACCCACGGAGGATCGATGAGTTCCTGAAGGAGGCCGAGGACCTGCTGCTGGGCCCTCTCGCCGGCGATGGCCTCCTCGAGCTGTCCAATGCCCTGAAGGCGCAGTTTCGGGACAAGTTGCAGACCAGCATGGCATGTATGTTGCCGTCGTACAACCACCAACTTCCCGCCGGGCACGAAGTCGGTCAGTATCTGGCGCTGGATGTGGGGGGATCGACCCTGCGTGTTGCACTGGTAGAATTGCGGGGCCGCGGTGCCAAGGGCCGCGAGAGCGAGATCGTCCGCCTCAGTTCCTTCGTGATCGATGCCGACATCAGGAACTTGGAGGGCATGGCATTCTTCGACTGGATGGCGGAAAGGATATTGGAAACCATTTGTAAAGACGGAGAGGACCCGTCACGGCCCATGCCCATGGCCGTGTCTTGGAGTTTCCCCATTGAGTAAGCACGCCACATCGGACGTATGATGTCAAGCTAACAAGGTGCAGACAAACGTCGCTGAAAGGCGGCCGTATTCATGGCATGGGTAAAGGGTTCCTCGCCGCCTACGGACTCATGGGCCAGGATCTCGGCGAGGTCATCGAGAGCGCGTGTAAAGCCAAGGGCATGAACGCCGTCCTCAAGGCGATTGTCAACGACGGCGGCGCCACCCTCCTCTCGCAAGCCTATATCCACTCCGCCACTCGCTTCGGCCTCATCCTCGGCACCGGAGTCAACATCGCCGCACATCTTCCCGTATCCGTAATCGGAAAACCGAAATTCGGCGAGCGGCCGCAGGAGTGGTGGGACGAGGCCCGTGATGTAATCGTCAACACCGAGCTCGGCATGTTTGGGCAGGATATTTTGAGCGTCACGCGGTGGGATAGATCATTAAAGCAGGGGCATCCGAGGCCAGATTTCCAGCCTCTGGAGCAGATGGTGAGCGGAATGTACTTGGGTGAGATGGTGAGGTTTGCATTGATTGAGGCGATTCACACAACTGGGCTTTTTGGCGGCGTGGTGCCCAAGTCGCTCGATGAGCCGTATTCCTTGAAATCGGAGACGATATCAGCCATTGAAGGGTAACGTTTGCCACCGTATCGTGCCGTGTAACGTCTGCTAACGTGCGCCACAGAGATACGTCGCCACTCTTCACATCATCCATCGAAGTCTTCATCTCCCGTCACCCGTCATCACACACGCCGACGTCATCTGACATGGCGGCCCTCCGCGACCTGGCGTCTTTCGTGTCGAGGAGGTCGGCGGCAATCATCGCTGCATGCTTGCACGCAGTCTGGGCACTGCGCCTGGAGGCGCTGGGCGAGGAAGACGTGGAGTATGCTGGCTCTGAACGGCTAGAGAAGGAGTGCGGTCTGGAGAAGACCACGGTGGCGTACAACGGCAGCGTGATTGAGCATTATCCGGGGTACCTGGCGATGCTGCAGGAATACGTGAGCGGGCTCGTCAATAGGGAGGATAGGAGTATCGACCTCGTCCCGGCAAAGGAGAGTTCGTTGCTGGGCGCGGGTGTGGCTTTGGCGACGTGTGACGTTGCGGCAACAGGGGCTTAAAAAGACATCACCAGTCGCGGGAGGGATGGTGAAGACGTAATCGTGGGCACCCTTCACATGAGACGAGGGCAGCCTTAGTAAATCTGGAGTCGCATAATATCATAAAGCGGGAATCATGTTTTTTAAGTCGCACATCGACCATGCGTCGTCGAAAGCTCATGTCATTGACCATGGGTATCTTGCCGTGCCCATTCCGAAACGCCCCTATCAGTGATTCGATCGTGAAATACTGTAAAACACACCGTCAAAGCTTTTGCTTCCCGCGCTCACTCGTCGTCATCGTCAATTGCCTCGACCTTGCGCTTTCTCCTTTCTCGTTTGACCTGGCGCGGCGCATCTTCGTCGGCGTCCTCGTCTGGACTGCTGCTACCCTCCTCCTCTGCGAGCCGCTGCAACTCCTGGGCGCGCTTCATCTTGCGCAGGATCACGTTGTCGTCGTAAAAGTCATCCACGCCGAATTCCTGCTCATGTCAGTGTTTCTTCTCAGCCTCGCCAGCGCTAGACGTACCTTGGAGCAGCCGGCCACGACACACTGCGCGCGTCTGTTTGGTGCCTTGTTCAACATCTCCGTGATCCACTGCTTCTCGTACGTGTGGTTGCAGACGCGGTTGCTAAATGGCTCCTTCAACTCCTGCATCGACAACGGACACCTGTAATCTCGAATCTCGCCGGCAATGACCAGGTCCTCGTCCTCGTCGTCGTCGTCCGCTGCGCCCCCCTCGTCCTTTACGTTTTGAGCAGCACCGGCCATACGAGGCATCACGGGGTTCCCCTCGTCGTCGAACCACCGCTTGGCATTGGGCAGCGTGGGGCCCGAGTCGCCGTGCACTGCGTCGTGCAGCAGCTTCTTGAAGCCGGCGTAGTCGTTGTTGAGGGCGTAGCGCTGGTAGACGTTGAGGTTCTGGTACTCCCGCGTCTTGTCGGCCCTGTGCTGACGCAGGGTGTCGATGACGGATTGCTCGGGCGGCGCCTCATCCTCCATCTGGGTGTCTCCCTCCCCGTCCTCGTCGCCATTCTGCTGCTGTCTCCGCCGCGACCTCGCCGGCGCGGCAGGGAGAGTCTGGAAGTAGTCCGCCGTCTCCGCCAGCGCCTTCTTGTCGTCCTCGACCTGCGCCTGCCTGTCGAGCAGGTCGCGCAGGGCGGCCTCGACGTCCCTCGTGAGGCCCGGGACCTCGGCGTCCAGCGCGGCGGCGTGCGCCTCGACCTGCTCCTCGCGCTGCGACTTCTCCTGGCTGCTGTCCGACTCGGCGCGCTTCGCGGCGATGCGCCGGAGCTGCTCGTGGCGGTCGCGGGTGGCGTCGTTGACCTCGGCGACGCTCTGGCTGAGGTTCGAGATGGACTGCTTGATATGGGATGCGTAGCGGTGGACGTCACGGCTGTTGGAGAGCTCTGAGATGGCGCGCTTGGCCTGGTCTGTGAGGGGGCACGCGAGGGGCTCGTAGGGCGGGAGGTCGACGTCGTCTTCGTCCACGACCTGTCGTTCGGGGCGGCGCTGGGTCGGCCTGCGGCGTTCGAGGACCGGCATGTTGATGGTATCTTGGTCTGGTCGGTAGCGGTTGATTCTCAGATGTGTGGTGTGAACGGTGTCGCAGATGGCCGGGGAAGAGTGGCAGCCAAACTGACGTCGAGATGCTGGCTGGAATTTTTGGCTGACAGAGGAGACGCGACGTGCCGTGGCGCGTTGGTGGGGTCGGAATTGATGCACTTTAAACAGCGGGGGTGGCCCTTGCATGGCCCGGGGTATGTCAGGTACGTATCGTTGCCCGACCTTCAACTTCACCTCGTCGTCAAAAATGCAGTTCTGACGGTCTGATAGCGATGTTAATGGCATCACAGTTTCATCTTAGTACTATTTGAGATCAGTGGTCGAATTATTAAGATCATGTTTGCAAACTACGTAAGCGTTGGTGTTGAATCTGGACTGTAGAGACTGGCGAGGATGCAAAGCTCTGGTGTAAGTGAGTGATATTGGTCGCGGATATCATCTTTGGCTTCATCTTCATTTCCGAGACTTGTTGCCTTCAGATGCTGTTAAATTCCGAGGTCATACTAATCGAGCTTAATTGCGTGTGAAAATACTGTTCAGAGAGGTCAGCTGTTCCTGCTACAGAAGCAAGTGAGTCCACCGCACCTGCCACTGGCGCGTTGTTTCCCTTATAGCCAACTCACCGTCCAGATCCCGCAACAATTGGTGCGACCACCATCGCAAGATAGCCTAGTGGTGGATTGTATGCCTGTTTTCGGCAAAGCTCGGTGGTTCGAGTTCTTTAGGTGGCTCTACATATCTCCGGTGGCCGCCCATTGTTTTTTCTTTTTTTATATTTTCAACTTTCCACACTCGACCGGTAAGCTTCTTGAAGCCTCTACAAGCATGCGAGTCGGTCTATTTCTTGGGAAGGCCAGACTGGTCCATTTGAGCCGGCCACTGTAAGTGAGATGCTTGACATGTCCTTCAGAACAATGTCAGTCGCGCAACTGACCGACTTATACTGATTGCTTTGACTAGTTAACTAACTTATTTAACTCGTTAAAATGTAGAGGTTAATTCATAGCCCAGGCCTATCGCACTCACGGCACCCGTTAATGTCATGGGAACACCCTCTCTCCGTCTCAACAGCGCGCCCATCGAGTTCATGAGCAGAGATGTGGTCAGCATTCTCAGGCCTATGCTTCACCCCATCTTCTGTCTCTGCGATGTCCCGTGCCTCCTCGTATGCATCCTGGCGCTCCTAAAACAGCTCATTTGCCTCATCCAGAGCTCTCTTCACCTCTTCCAGAGAAGTCGCCTCGGGCCCGTCGTATCCCTTCTGGTTCTCTTCCTTGGTGGCCCCTGGCGTTCGACCGAGAAGACAGCATCTGACGCCGTCAATCACCAATGCCTCGTCAATGATACGAGGGTCTCCAATGACAGCCGCAACGCGACCAATCTTGCGCCGGAAGTCCTGGTTCTCCCTCTCCATTCGCGCCATACGGGCGTCAATATCACGGCTCTGTTTTTTCCATCGTGCGACATTTTAGAGCTTTCTGGGTCTGATAAACTTGGTCGGAGGCCATCACCAGATGTTATCTTATACAGCAAGGACTTGCTGATGGAGTGACACATGTCCGTGGGCTGAATGACCGCTTCTCACGACAATGACTACTTACCTCCACTGATCACCTGCACGCATCAAGATGTTCCTGAACTGTTCAACCGTAAAAGTGTTTCAGAGTATTCTAACAACTCTTCATCCGCCTTCGAGGGCGTGATTCATTCTATGTACATGGGGCTCTCGTGTCTCCGTAGATTCGTTCATCCTCCGCAACGAGCCCGTCAGGTCCCAATCCTAGCTTCTTTGTATATCATACACTCGTAGATATCTTGCCGTCCCATGTGGTAAGTAACTAAACCAAATATTCGGAAAATGCTGTAAATCAAACGCCCAATGCCGGTAAACTTCATGTCTCGTGCCCTCCCTTTCACCCTCATTATCTTTCGTCCCAAATCATTTTTGTTTTCTTCACTGCCTCATCAGGCATCATGCATGCGCCCGACGTGAGAGTAGAGACCCCTTGCGTTGGGGCATTTGTCCACGATGTTGCAGTGAAGCAGTAGCAGCAACACAACGCAGTCGGCGAACCCGCCGAGATCAGTCGTCGACAATCTCATCACTGCTGCTGCTACTCGACCCAGACGTCACACTCATGCTCTGGCGAGCGACGTGGACTAATCTGTAGATGCCGAACGCGACACCGGCGAGGACGATGAAGAGCACGATGACGATGATCGCAATGACGTCGTTTTGCTTGACCATGGCTGCGGCGGCCGGGGTTCAGGGTCTTCCGTCGAGCCCGAAGCTGACGGAGACACCTGCGGAGGAGGAGAGTTTGGTCGGGGGTGGTGGAGAAAGAACAGACGGGTCCGATGGAGCGGAGTCGCCGTGGGCCGTGGAATGCGTGATGTGTCTGTGTGTCTCGGGAGACGTGCTGAGTTCAGAACGTTGGCCGTTGGAAAAAAAGTCGTTTTTGGGCCAAAACTCTGCAGTTTAAAATTAGTCAATTGTCTCGAGGGGGAAAATTCCTCAGAGAAGGAGGTCGTACCCAATGGTTGATGGCCTGCAGCTGTCTGGCTAGCTCCCCGCGATGTACAAGATACTTTTGCGGCTTCCGGAGTATAGGCCCCGATGGTGGACGGCGTGGGGTGCGGTTTGGCCGAAGAACAACGACGGTTGTCTATCTCAAAAGACCGAAGAAAAAACTTATTTTCGAGTCGCGAGATCGAGGCTTTTCGTGCAGCGTATCAAAAGGAAGAGAGAAAGCAAATCCAGGAAAACCCGTGTGGAATGCAGCCGGGCAGCGCAGCGTTAAAAGGCAGCGTTGCCCCGCCACCAGGTTTCCCAGAGAAGTCAATAAAATGGGAGAGGCTGGAAAACCGCGACCACGCAACGCCGGCACCACACACACCACGACCCCAACCGCCCGCGAAACAGGGGTCTAAAGCTGCTTTTAGTGGGCCGCCCAGGCAGGGATTTCAGCGCACCCAACCTCGCGGGTGCCGCATCCTGCAGGTTTTCCCCCGTCGTCCCGGGCTGGGCACTTGTACATTCACCGCAATCCTTTGGTGGCGGTCTACCTTTGCGGTCTGGCTCCTGTCCTGGTTCCTGCGTCTGACGGCGACATCCGCTTTGGACAGCCCTGTATCCTCTCTTCCCCTTCATGAATTTGAGACTGACAGTCACGGCTGACGTGGGGCCATTGGCGGCGGCGCATTGGGTGAGTCCCGGAAGTCAAGACTTGTCTTGCCTGCGAACTAGTGCGCCTCGTTCCTGGTTTGACCTGAAGATCTCAAGCTAGCTCGTGTAGACGTGACGATGGAGGCTACACCACATTCAGAGACCACACCAAGAAGGCCAAGCGGATCAAGGTGAAGCATCAAATTTACCCTGGCACTACATCCCTATCGCACATCGTCTCGCGGTGCCCCGCTTCGAGACGCAGGGCACTCGTCTCCCGCAAACCGCATGTCCTATTTACAGGTTGGGTCTGGCGCGGATTCTTTTGAGAACCCCATGCGCATGACTGATCGAAAAGAGCAATTCCGAAATCCATGAAAGCCTCCTGATAAGGATGCCATCAGCCCGAACGCCGTTCCCACGTAAAACAACACAACATGACGTCCTTTTGTTGATTCACATCTCAGCCTCTGGCGCAGTCTTCTCAGGGAAATGGTTATCAGCATCCGCCTCGGGCTCTGACTTGACGATTCGGATGTGTTTCTCATAGAAGCGGAGCATCTGTGACGCAATTAATGTCTGCTCTCTTCAAGAGAGGACAGGAGAACTCACCTTCTGCGGGCATCGCTTGTACACCACCTCGGTAGGGTGCTTCGTCTTTTGGCCGTTCTTCCAGTTCAAGTAGATGACCAGCGCCCCCGAAACCTCATCTTGGCATGCATCAATGCTCTCAACATCCTCTTCCCAGCTGCCGCTGGGCAATGTCCACGGCTTGGCCTTGGCGGCGGCGACTGCGGAGGCGGGAGGGGTCGAATCGGCCGGGTGGCCGTTGCGTCTGGACTTCTTGGTGGTCGCTGGCGGCGTGGATGAAGCAGCAGGGCGGCCGCGCTTCTTGGTAGTCTTGGCCTTGGTCTTCTGCTCGAATAGTGCCTCGCGGCCACCAATCGCTCTGAGGTACTCTTCCAGAATCTCGGCTGCGCCCTCCCTATGAGTATGTCAGCATCAGAACAATAAGCATCGATCGCAGCATGCGCTCGGCACGTAACGTACTTCAGCGAGTCCTCTGGCTCCCAGGTCTGATCCGCCTTCTTCTCGTAGCCCTCCCACTTTACTCTGAAGTTGACCAGTCCCTAAAACAGAAGTCAGCTGGGGGCGCAATCAGCGGGCGGAGGAGCGCATACATCATCGCCGACCTGGTGGTCGAGAATCTTCTCAACGACATATCTATGGCATCATTAGCGCCAGAGTCCCCCCCAGTACTATCTGTCGCGCGACACGCACTCGTCGGCCTCGAGGTCCTCGTCATCCTCGTCCTCGTCTTCGTCATCGTCTCCGTTGGCGGCAGCACTGCCATTCAGATCGCCGGTAACCTGGGGGATGTCGAGGTCGCTCTTAGTGTCACTAACGTCATCCGCAATGTCGACCGATCGGCTCTTTCCGCGGGTCTCCTTGACGGGGACGATGATGTCGCCGCCAAAGTCGGACTGCTCGTCGTCGCTGATGGCTGCAGCGCGGGTCAGTGCCTTGTTCTTTCTGCCTCGGGACTTTCTGCGCGTCATCTTGGGCGATGGGGGGTGATTGGGACAATGGTCGCGTCGGGCGGGTGGCTGTCGCAAAGAAGACGCGCTTGGTGATGATGCGCGAATGGTGGTGTGGGGAGGATGGGAGCTTACCAGGAGGCATTGCGTCGGTTTTTTATCAGGCAGAAATTTCTGGAATATCCAGAGAATACGTGAATGGGAGTTGCGCACTCAGGCAGGAAGCATCGACACGCGCAACAATGGGAAGGTGCGATTGAGCAGCTGTCCTAGCTTTGCCTCATGCTCGGGAGAATGTGAGGCTAGTGCCGCGTCGTGCCACTGCCACATGTGGCTTGGTGCATGTCATGTGATATACACTCCAGCCACAAGCCGGGTCGGCGCATGCTTTCCCGACTTCCATCCCGATGCTTTCCTTCCACACGGGACCCCGTCCTTCTGAAAAGAGCTTGTGTGGATCCTCCGAACCGGTGGACCAAGCTCCAAGATCTGTCCCGAGAAGCTTCACCAGGATGGGAAGTTGATCTGGTGTGATGGGGAGGTGCGTCTGGGCTTGACTCTGCCACTCCGATATCGTAAATTTGGTGCCTTGGAATCGATTTCAATCGGTGAGGCAGCTCTACATGCGATTCGCACACCTACGGAATCACATCTCATCTCCATCGATCTGGGCATTTGAGAGGTCCATGGTTTCAACAGGACCTAGCGTGAGCATTGCTTCTCAGCTCGGAGATGTTACTGCACTGCATGTCTCCTTTCCTACCGTTGTCCAACCGATTGGGTGTTCTGATCGGGGGGTATCGTAGTAGTCGCTTGTATGTGAGGGATTTCGCCGACTACAGGAGAAGATGCGGGATGCACACGTCTTCCCTGAGGTTAAGGGAAATCAATGGACGCAACGCAAATCATTGACAGAAGCAGACAGCTTAATCATCCGGTTAGGATGTTTCCGTAGCGCCTACAAGACTGAGCTGTGCCGCTCCAACCAACAGACGACAGAGCGCGCCTGCAGCAGTTGCAGAAGCGTAATGAGGTTTTCATCAAATCTCTGCAGCGCAAAAGGGGCAGCGCTTTGCTGGAAGACAACCACAACCAACAAGAGCTACAAGACTTACTCCCAACGGCGGTCGACTCAGGGAAAGGCAAAGCGCATGAAGATGGATCGCGATTTAGCAGCTGGCTGGCAAGTGCCAACCCTGCCCCGCAGCAGGGTTCTTTGCAGGAGACCAAACTTTTGCGGATTTCGTCGTCTCCCTCGCGTCAATGTATGCTCTCCGGGAAGCTTGTAGCACCTTAGAAGTCGGAGGACGGACTATCTTGCGCCTGTTGCTTTTGGATCAGGTTCACACATGCCGGGCTCATCCTATGGGCATCAGCTTTTGTCCTTGGCTGCCACAGGAAAGGAGAGGCTGTTGCGGGAAATTATCGGTGTGCTGCAGGTTGGTTGGCAAACGACGTCTTGGATGGTCCAGACAAGGTGCACCCAAGATGCTGCGGCTACGGCAGGTTGCACTAGACGGCAACGACCAGCCTCCAGGCCAGGGCCAGGACCGGGAGCCATGAAGCGGGCGACAGGAAGCCACAGGAAGCCACAGGAAGCCACAGGAAACCGAAGCGCGCCGCTAGTAGTGGCCCTGTAGTCGCGAAATGATATTTGTCTCTTTGCTGCGTCGCGTCCTGCAGATGCCAACCCCATTATTCAATGCAGGAAAACGGGGGCCCTGAGCGCCGGATGCTATCCCCGGACTAAAACACAGAGTAACAAAAGGTCGGGGAGGGAAAAACAAGTCGTCGTCGGACACACGAGGGGTTTCTACTTGGAATCTCAAAGTCTCTCGCCGAAACCGACCAGCGCTGTGCATAACCCGTCTACTGGCGCTCCCTGATATCTCAATGAGCGAAACCCAAGGGGCGCAATGTCCTTGAGACGGAAGCTGTCAGGTCTGTTGGCGCCGCTGGTCCTTCACCGGCTCCCCTGGATGATCTCCCGGAATGCCCCTGAAAAAATGGATCGGACACAAGCCGGTGGGACCCAGGAGCCTAAAGAAACGAGCCGGAAATGTCAACGCGCGCCCCGGTCGGCCAGTCTAGCCAGGATTTATTTCATCCAAAGATGGCCAGTTGGAAGATGTTAGGAAGAGCGCTGCGGTTGGGTGCCATTCGCGTCTTTGATGTTGGACTGGACAGGGTGCGGCTGTTGAGCTACCTAGGTACGGTATCATCCACCTCTGTGAGCGGCGACGGCTGTCTGTGCCGTCGCGCACCAAGTATCCGTCCATCTGCAGCGCAATGTGCGGCCGGTCCCGATTTGTAGACCTTTTCAGGTCGCTCCGAGTCAGAGTCTTCGGCAGCCCAACTCGATTCGGGGTCAATAGGGCAGCTTGGCAGGGCAGGGCAGGGTTGATATGTGTCTTTCTGGTAGGGATATCTCCTACGGAACCCGTGGGAGTCCAAGGACACCCGCTGGAGCTGGCAAGAGACAACAGTCGTCGGGCAGGGTGCTGGAATCAAAAGTTCCGCCGTGCACCCCAAAGACCACTAGGCCAGTAAAAGTGATGCATAGGGCGGTGCCGGGCTGTCCCTCTCGTTTCCGCGGGCCAGATCAGCACTAACCGAACGACGTGCACATGTGAGAGGGCATGCGGCTGGAATGGAAGAGCGAGGAAGCGAGCGAGATGCTGAGCGGGAAGCCCGTGTGTCTGAACCATGAAGGATGCAGGTTGGTATGTGAAATACCTCAGGGACTCTCGGTGGGAGGGTGGCCGCGGACAGGCAGTCAACGTGCTTTGGAGACATGTGCGTGTCGATTGGTTCGGTGGCCATGTTCTTGGACATTTGCTGTTGAAGAGTTGGTGGGCAAGGCAGGCCAACGGCGAGGCGTCATTGGGGCCCGAGACGCGATGATGCTGAGAGAAGTCCAGGAGAGGAATCCGTCTCGGTTGATCTGAGTGCGCGCCTTGGGGATAGAAATAGAAACAGAAGAAAAGAGAGTTGTTGGTCGAGGTGGCCTTGGGGCGCCGTTGGTCGAGATGACGGGCGGCAGAGATGAAATAAGAGGTACGTACCGTGCTTGCTATTTGCTTGGAGAGATGAACCCTACCTTACCTTAGGTGCTTACCTTAGGTAGGTAAGGTAGGATGTAGCTCCTTGCCGTGCTAGGTACTTAGCGACGGGAGGTACCTTTTCACGGAAGGTGGTGGCAGATGTGATGTCCACTGCTAGGTACAGTAGGTCGTCTCCATCGCTGAGCCGGGCTGCCGCACCTGCACCTGCTCTTGCATATATCCGTGTGTACATCAATTGCATGAGATGCCTGGGTATCACAAGTCCCTTGGTCTGGGTGCAATTGCATTGGATTGGAATCAAGCCCCACGAACACTGGGCCAATGTGAATGGATAGATGTTCATCAATAGGTACCTACTGCATACGGGTACACTGACGGATGCTCAGCGGCATCAGGGCGAGGTGGGACCACCGTACGGCCCTGAAGGGGGCTTGATCTGGGCCGTCCTTGGCTCCGTCTGTGCTGCCACTGGCGCCAATCTGGGGGAACTGGATGGGGGGGAGCTCGACTTTTTTCTGGCGCGGGTCGGTGGTGCTACCCCTGCCGTCCTGCCTTATTAAAAAAAACTGCAATAATTAAATCCCGGGTGACATTTTTGCACTTCCCCTTACTCTGTACTTTACTTTCCACCTCCTCCCCGACTGCCCTCCTCCACCCCCCCTACCTCTCTTCACTCGATAGAGGTCTCAAGAGACTGCGAGCGTCCACGGATGAAATAGAGACTGCAAAAGGCGAGAGTCTTCCTTAATTCTTGTCACACGACTTTACCGGAACTGAAGAATCCCTCTCTCTCGCAAGAGCCTCGCTTCGCCACGCCCCGACTGCCCCCCCGACCCGAACCGCCTCCTCCCCGTGTCCCCCGACTATCTGCCGGTCATCACCAGGATTAGCTGTGTTCTGTTCGCTCCGGCTTTTGGCAAGCATCTGCTGCTTCTCGACATCTCCCACCGACCTCCTTCTCTTACCACACTCGTTTAGCTCTTCAGCACATCATCTTCCTGTCCCTCATTCGTTCTTCTCCTTGTGTCGCATCCACTCCGTCCTTTCCACGCCCTTTTCCTTTCCTTGCCGTAACTATCACCATACAACTTTTTAAATTTTGCTTGCTCTTGTTTTGGAAACCATTTCCACACACAACTACACACAACTACAATTACATACATACCCTACCGTATGACCCTCGACCGCATAGCTCCCCCGGAGCAGCTTCAAGAGCCCTTTCGCGCGAACGGCCTGTAGCCACGCTCAGAGCTCACCCTCTACCTACCGAACTTCGATCCACTCATTACCTTACCCACCACTTCTTTTAGGAACACGCAAGTCGAGCGACAATGGCCGAAACCGCGAGCAACGCCGACTCGAACCAACAGAAACTGGGCGCCCCGAAGGACAAGAACTGTCAATATTGTGGCCAGGCGTTCACCTCCTCCTCCCTCGGCCGACATCTCGATCTCTACATCAAGGAGAAGAACCCCAAGCCCCCCGATGGCATCCATGATGTCGAAGCGATCAGGCGCGTGAGAGGAGGCATCACGCGGAGACAGCCCAGGGGTTCCACAGGCGGTAGGAACGTCTCAACCCCGGCTGGCACACCGAGACCTGCCCCGGCCAAGCGCGATGCCACCATAGACTCCGAACCGCAGAAGTCTCCCGCCCTTCCAAAGGACGGTCAATATGCTGTTGACTCCACGCTGAGCAAATACCCCTGGACCCCTTCATGGGAGGCCACAGGCGTGATCAACAACATCCCCCCCAGCGGCGAAACCGCCAACTCCACGGACGGAGAAGGCAGCCAGAATGCTGGAAAGAGACAGAGACAAGTGAGCAAGCAGGTCATGCAAAAGGCAAATTTCGATCAGAAGCACAAGCTCGCCGACGCCATGGACAATGCGCGCGCGGCGGAGCTCGCTTTCAGAGAGCTCTACAGCTCACTGAGAGCTGCAAAGTACGTTGCGGGAGTTCTGAGCACACGGGCGTGTATGCTGACCAGTGACAGGCAACACATCGACAACAACTCCATGCCTTTTGACTTTGATCCGCTTGCCCTGGACTTTCCTGCATTAACACTGCAGTGTCTCGCCTCTCCGCCCACCCTGTTTTCCTCAACCCAGCATCCCACATCTACTTCTTGGTCTGTGCAGTCGCCAGGCCAAAGAGAGTATGATGCATTGCGGGCTTTCTTCCAGGAAGAGTTCAGCAACTGGAAGATCAAGTGCGCGACTGCTACCACGGCAGCAATGGAGGAGCTGACGTACCCTCCCCGAGATGGACCCTACCGGGACGCTCGAGAGGCTGTTAAAAAGGCCGAAAAATCTGCCGAGAACCTCGAGAAGCAGGTCACCGAACACTTGCAGTCGGCATTCACTGTCTGGAACTCTCTGCCCGTCCAGAGGCGGAACGAGCTGTGGCTTTTGGAAATGGCGAGGAGTGTGGGCAGGAAGCAGACGGAGATCAGCAAGATGAAAGACGCGCAACACAAGTTGGAGCAGGAAAACGCTCACTTGAAGTCTCAGATCGACCAGCTAAATCGCCTACAACAACCACGGGAGTTCAAGCTTTTCGCCCCTACCATGATACCCTTCGACCGTCACCACATGGCTCACGTGTTGGAGAATGGTGTTAGCGGCATCGGTCGCAGTGTTGGTTTGCGCCTGGAGGACAGGCATTCGGACATCAACGAAGTAGTTGAGAAGAGCATTGGACGATGGAAGACTGTCATCACATCATCTCGTGTCGCCAGTAACGGCATGAATGCGCAGAGATCTTTGGATCAGGCGAACAGCAATACACCCACCCCGACCCAAACTCCTCAACAGCAACAGCAACAACTTCAGCAAAACCCGCAGCAGTCACAGCAACAGGTTCAGCCGCAGCCTCCTCAGCAGCAGCAACAACCGCAACAACAGCAGCAGCAGCAGCAGGTTCAGCAGCAGGTGCAGCAGCAGATGCAGCAACAGGTCCAGCAGCAAGTCCAGCAGCAGCCTATTGCTGTTCAGCGGCAATCGACGACAAGCACCAACGGCCTTAGTGACCAAGGTGCAACGATTAGCGGTCCGCCTTCAATCGACGAGAACAGCGATCAGGATGCTGATGCCGATGCCGATGCCGACGCAGAGATGGAGGATGATGACAGTTTCGCCGTCATGAACACGCCAACCACAAAACCAATGCAGCCGGTGCAACGACAAGCTACTCTCGATGTTCCTCGGACGAGACCGGTGCAGAGGGGTGCGAGTGACGCGCGGTTCGTGCAGCAGAACGGAAATCCGAATGCGAATCGGGGCGCAATCAACATGAGTCGGTCAATGCCCAACATGCAGGCTACGATGCAGGCCATGCACGGCGGGGACATGGGAATGGTAATGTCCCAGGTACGGGGTGATCCGATGTATATGGATTGAATAGATGCCGGATTCGGCATCTTCCCAATGTAAATGGATTGAGAACGCTCAAAAAGTTGAACCGGAGGACAAAAAGGCTGCGGCATTTCCTTTTTCTTTCTGCGCCGCAGCTTGCATTCAGGGCGACAGCCCGCTGTATAAGCTTACTTTACGGATTAGCATCTCTGAGGCATCCCGGATGGAGCCCAGGGTCACTTTTTGGCTATTAGGTGTTCTAGTACAAATCGCCTGTTGGGCAATACAGGAATCATTCTATCACCACATTGGTTGCCATTAGCCACCCGCCGCCGCTGCTTTGTGTGCCTGCCGAAAACCAGCCACACCAGAGGCAGCCCATGGACCGATCTATTTGGGCTGGATCTCAGCGGTGCCTGCCCGACCTACCCACCGGTTTGATTGCGGGTTGATGAAGATGATTTCCGGTATCTCATTCCGGATCCTGTCAAATTGCTTAGTGTTACCATTGTGCCGGCACGCTACGGTAAGGGTGGGGGTCTTCCTCTCCACTGTGGGATTGCCACGGCCCGGGGGTTCGTCACAAGTTGAGAGTGGCCCGAAGCATAAAGCAACTTCGTTTAACTCGTTAAGAAAGATGCGCCGAAATGGGTCAATGAAAGTGAGCTGTGCCGCAAATCCGTATATCGATTATGAATCGGGTGAGTTGTGAAGCACACATGTTCATGGAAATGACTATACCCCACAGAGATGTGTGAATCTGGTCGCTTACACACACAGCCAGGGTTCCGGCAACCTTGGTTCCCATAAACTTCAATATCTGGCTGATGCTACTCTGCATTAATGGGTCTTGTACTTATCGTTCAAATAGCGTCATATTCACGGATAACTCATCTCACGCTCCTATATCTCGTCTCGGTAGTCCGCCCCTCGTCCTTTTCACGATCTTCTTCGCCCCCAACGCCTCTCTCTCCCATCCCAGATCCTCCGCTTCTCATGTGAGCCCTGGAAAGACGTACTTTCCCTGCAAACCAATAGTACGACGTTGCCGGTAGCATTCCCCCAGTACCGGGTGGAGAGGTTATATTCTTAGGTCCTGGAGAACGGTTCCGGGTCTTCGGGAAACGGTCACGCGGGAAACGAGACTCTCATCTCGACTACCGGACGCGAACTCGGGTTGGTTCTACTGATGCTCTTCATTCCCCAAAAGCCGGAACGGTGGAGCAGACCAAACGGGGGCCTTCCACTGTCTCAGTCACCATGCCGAGATGGGAAACTCTCGCTTTCTGTGTCCTCCCCCCGGTTGTTGGCAATCTCACGCCTACCCGCCGCGGTGGCTCTCCAAATGCGGATGTTCGACCGAAAGTAGCATGGTCAGCAGAAAGAGAGAGAGAGAGCCTTTGGGGTGCGGGCCTTTCCTAATAATAGCCCCCTGATCTCTTGGAAGCTTCTTCGGCCCTTCTTCCCCCTCCCCCTCCCCCTCCCGCTCCTCCTCTCCGCGCCTTGACCTCCCGCACGACGATCTCGTGTTCTGTGATGGCGACGGAGTGGACTCGCGCCAGCCTCTCCTGGAGGGACAGGAGCTCGGGGCGGGGAGGCGTCGTGGTGGTGGACTGCCGGCGGGCGATGGCGTCTTGGAGACCGGCCACCACGTCCTGGAACTGCTGGGCTATGTCGTGGAGGCGGGATGTTGCGACGGAGAGCTGGTGAGGAGTGCAGGATGCATAAGGGGTCGGAAGGGTATGTTCATCATCTTCGTCGTCGTAGTTGTCGCCGTCATGGGGTTGTCCACCGCCGGTGGGAGATTGTGATGATGGTGCCGAGGTGATTGGGGACGGGGGAGGGAGATGAAGGGTGCTGCTGATGTCGACGGCGGTGCTGCTTTCGCGGCGCCTGCTGAGGCGTTTCTGTTCTTCGTCCTGGATTGTGTGGAGATGGGTGAGCATGGTTTCCGGAGTGAGGCGTTTGGGAGATGGGAGCTCGGTGAAACGGACGGCTCGGGGAGATTGAAGAGCTCGTGGGAGGTTGTGCGGGTTTCTGGATAAGGAGGGCTGTCCGGTGCTTGCTGAGCTTGAGCGCAGTGGAGAAGGTGTTGTGGTCAGAGGATGTTGGCCATAACTTCCTTCCTTTCCAGCACCGCCATTCTCGAGAACTGGCTCCAGCATGGTGACGAGGTTGACGATGTGTACTGTGATACTCTCAAGGTTGAGTCGTCTATTGTGCCTCGTAACTAATACCACAGCGTGTCTGTTTCTTGCGTTGGGCCAAGCGACGTCTTTATCTTTATCTTTACTTCTCGTTTGCCACGGGGGTTAGAAACTCATGGAGAGGGCCAACCAAACAGAAAGCACGCAGGGAACCCCTTTTCGCGGTCACCCAGCCGTTTTTCTACATGTGTGATATATCACAAGAGCCGTGGCACGCCCGCTGATTGTTTCCTCATGATACGTCGCAAACTTGACTGGCGGGCTATGTGTTGTGCGGCTAGCAGCAGCCGTTCTGGTTACAGTTGGCCCGGTCATCCAGTGAGATCACTCGTCGCCGTTTGCTCTCCCAGCCAGGGCCATGGATCTGGTAAGATGGGTTGCGACTGGCGAGTGTCATATTCTCAGCCGTTCCATTTTTCATCCCGTTTATTAGTTGCTGTTGTCCTCCTCTTCGTTATCGGTTGGTTGGCACATCAATTTGGGCGCTCATGTGAGCTTTAGGAGAATGAGAAGTGTCAGCGATATTACCACCACGGAACACGATCATGCAGCTGGGCACGGTATAGATGGGCATCATCGCCCACGGCAATCAAGGAAGACACCACCTGATTTCCCCGTGTCTGCGCGGCTAGATTTCTTCTTGACTTCATCGGTTTGAAATTTTGCTTCAATCAAGGACGATAGTAAGTTGTAGAAATTAGAGACGAAAACGACGACGACAGTGACGATGAGAGCGGGCACATGAGCAGCAAAAGAGGTTTCTTTGGGAATGTCGAAGAAGAGTGTGCATCGATTCGAGCAAACAGTCAACTAGAACTCGTCGTAAGAATGTTATTGTACTATGAAACAGGCTGCGCCAACCAATGTGATAGCAGCTAATTCAACCGAAGCTCAGTTGGATTGGGTAGCTAGACAGCATGCAGCCATGGACAGCTTTCGAACTTGGGAGACCGGACTCATTGTCGGGAATGAAGGCACTGTAGACAACGGGAGCTGTCTCATACACCGCACTCACCAGCCCTTGCTGGCGTTCATCGTGAGTGAGGAACCAGAAGAGAAACATGAAGCCGAGGTTGACGTGCAGCATGCGATATATGGATAGTGACTGTGCGTTGGTAAGTTTTGGTGACAACTTCTTTGCTAAATCATCACATATCAGGGTCCATGAGCCGTCTGATGTGTGAGGGCACAGGCCATTTGAAGACGAAATCATGCGGCCTGACAAGACAAAAAGCGCGAACTGAAGATTTTGTCCGAGCATCGTGGTCGTCCGGCAGCGGCAGGATCCCTGTCACACGGAAGATGACGTCTCAAGGTCGGAGGCAAAGGCGGCCCGACAGGCGTCAAGCCCAACGTCAGAAGTGTCCGGAGGCTCGGCAGCAGGGCGGGAGAGGGGAGCCTAGGGACAGTGGCCTTCCGGCAGTTGAAGCGACCGGAGTGTGGAGGGGGCGCTTTTTCTCATCCATGGACAGGGCGGCTTGAAACAAGGACGAGGAGGAGGCATGACGACGAGCGCCCGAGCTCTCTGACGGCAACCTTGCTCCGATGATGCGTCTGATAACGGCGCAGTGCATAGATTGCAAGAGCCAGCATAAATAAGGATGATTTGTCGCTGTCGAAGTTGCTTCTGATTCGGCTGAGACACGGCGAAGTGGAATTATCCGCACGAGACTTGCGGCGATAAGACGACGCTTCCTTCAGGCGTGCTGGAAGGCGCACCAAGAACTGGAATCAAAGATAGACTGCAGGCGAACGAGCCATGCGATTGCGAGAGGGAACCTTAAGAAGCCAATTGGTGGCGGTACGGACGCTCTCATACGCGGAACCTAGGCACATTCCGCTGTGGCATCCCATCCTCCCCTCCTCCCTACCGCGTCCTGAGCACCCGACTGGGTGGCCCAGGGGGAGCAGAGGCCGCTGCAAGTTCCCGTCAGGTAGCAGATATACAGGCAGGTACGCCAAAGTATCGTGGAGTCTCATGCGGAACCGACGTGTTTGGCGGTACGCGACCTGACGAGTTGCATTGTTTGTATGCAGCAGAAGAAACCTCTCGAGAATGGCAGGTGATCAATAGGAAAACGTCCGAGAAGATGCCAAAGACTAGACCAGCCACAAATTACCGTCCACCAGCCTCGAGTGATGAAGTGGCGGCGCTACCAAGGGGAACTGCTTAGTCCTGCACTATCTCGAGCCCCCAGACTGCAGCAGAAAAGATACTTGCGACATCCTCCCCAAACTCGCAGCGGGTCCCAACCTACCTAGGCTCTACGCTACCTTAACGGGTAGACTGGCAGCAAGCTACCCCCAAGAACACACAGCACAGCACACAGTACGGACACAGCACTCCCCTTCTGCCTTGCATCACGACACGACCTTGAGATCCCACTTCAATTTCGACCTCGACTTCGCCTCGCCCTCCCCAACCAAACGGCCATCACCCTCCCTTCGAAGCGCCCCATCGGCCGCCACATCGCCGTCCAACGTCGAGATAATCATGCGCATGCTGCCTCCCTCTGCCCGCCGAACCCCCTCATGATTGCTCCCTCCCACTGCGACCGACCGCCCACACGGAGCAGCGAGCAGCCATGGACAACAGGGCGCAGCGATTCGAGGACGAGAAGCGTCGTATCATCGACAGCTGCTTCAACAAGAAGGACGTAGATGGATCGCGTAGGTTCTGCCCATCCCATTCCCTCTCCCTCTCCCTCGAATCCTTGTCCAGATGCTCACCCCGCTGCTTGCCTGCCCGACAGTGCTCGAGACATACATCACCCACATCCGAATCGTCGAGTACTCCTCCCATCCGACATCACCGCCTCCCCCCGAAGCACGAACACCCCAGTCTGAGAAGCCCCGAATTATTGTCGTCGCTGTTAGAAAGTCTGGCCGTGTGCGCCTTCACAAGACCAAAGAAAATGCCAACGGCTCCTTCTCCATTGGAAAGACATGGAACCTCGACGACCTGTCCGCCATTGAATCCTTCACCGGCCCCCCTGCCAACCCAACACTTCGTGAATATGCCGGGGACACGGGCTTTGTCGTCACCATTGGCAAACCCTATTTCTGGGATGCCCAGTCAGACAAGGAAAAGAAGTTCTTCATTGCCAGCTTGGTCAAGATCTATGGCAAGTACACAGGGGGAAAGGTCCCCGAGCTGTCGGGCTTCGACCAGGCCGAAATGGGACAGATCTTGAGGAACGAACGACGACCCCCGCCCGGCGCCCAGCCTCCGTTCAGACCCCCGGCAATGTCGCCAGATGCTGCTGCTAGCCAGAGCAGCCTCAGCGCTACAAATGTGCCTTCAAACTACGGGACTCCCTCGCCGGGACCGCCAGGCCCGCGACGGCCGCCGCCTCTCAATGGTCCGCCCCTCAACGGGACCAACTCACCTGTCGGCAGCATGAGCTCGTCTCTTGGCCAGCCAGAACCCCCGACACTACGACGATTTGGCAATAAGAGCCAAGAATCGTTTGCTCAGTCGCTGGGAGGACGAAGTGACGATGCAGGAAGTGTGCCGCCCCGCTCGAGGAACGGCATACCCGGCCCCGGTACCTTTGGAAGATTCAACGACAATACGCCCGAGCCGATTCCTATACCCCCGCCCCAGCGCCCAGAAAGCCGAGGCAACCAGAGCCGCGAGCCTCCCCCCGAACGCAAAAGACCTCCCATGGATCCGGCGCGGCCACAGGGCTTCGCCGACCGGGACCTGGTGCCTGCGCCCTTGGTGAGCCCAGGAATGCGACGAGATCAGGTGGCCCCTCCACCCAGGAGTACAGCCAGGAAAAATTCCCTGTCGCAACGCTCCGACGCCGGTTCGTACAAAGACAGGCCCGTCACTCCTCTCACCCCCGGAGATGCAGGAATGCCGGATGCGCCGCCGGCGCTCAGAACTCCCACGCGGAATGGAATGACTCCGACCAGACAGCCTCCCCCGATGGTATCGCCGCCGCCTGAAATCCCCGTTCCTCCCGCACCTGTCTCCCCTATCGCACCAACACCGCCTCCCGCAGCCCCCGCTCCCTTACCCGAGCCGGAGCCGTTGGTTGAGGAGCCCCAGGCCCCGCCAGCTGAGCCTCAGCCAACACCCCCTGTTCCGCCTGAACCTGAGGAAGAGACTCGGCCCGGTCTTGGCCCGATGATCAAGGCGAAGAAATCAAAGGGCGACCTTGCTGGTGTACTTTGGAAAGCCGCTTCTGCCGCCGCTGCGTTCAAGCCAAGAGCCGGCGGCGCGGGCGAGAGACTACGCATGGCAGCGACCAAGAGCGCTGAGCCAGCTGAAGGAATCACAACCGTCTTTCGGCCTCCGCCTCGACCTGTTTCTTCCGATGGACCCAAGGAGGCAACGCCAGAGGCCACCCCGGACGCTGCCCCCGCTGCTGCACCAGCAGAGCCCGCCAAGCGGACGTCGGGCGTGCCGGAAGTCAAGGTCACGGTCCCCAATTCGAGTCGCCCGACTAGCCTGCAACCTTCAGTCAAGGAGGTCAAGAAGCCTGAGGAACCTGCATCAAAGGAGGAAGCCCGCAAGTCCTTGGTGATCGGCAATGATGCCAAATACCTGGCATCTCTCGGCGTTGATCCGTCGGTCCTCGATAACAGGAGCACTGAGTTTACAAAATGGCTCGACTACTTTGGCTGGGTGCCCGGTGATAAGATGAGGTCTCGTAATGTTGATGAGATGAAGATGGATCTAGAGAGAGAACTGAACAGGGCCCAAGCGGGCGGTTGGGTCGCACGTTTCCAGGAAGAGGACGACCGTGTTGAAGCTATCAAGCGCGGTATTGACACCGCAATTTCCGAGTGTGAGGAAATGGAAAATCTGTTGACGCTTTACAGTGTCGAGCTTTCGGTAAGCGGTCAATCTTCCATTGAAGCCACTTCGCAATACTAACATCACAGACTCTTTCGGACGACATTGCGTATATCGAGGCGCAAGGGCAAGGTCTGCAAGTCCAGACTTC